ACTTGGCTGCTAACCACAAGGTCAGCAATTCAAACCCTCCAGCCACAGGAGAAACATGAGGCTTTCTTCTCCCAGAAAGATTTACAGTCAGTCTCAGAAGAAAGCCTTTGGAACAATTCAGCTCTATCCTATTGTTTTTAAGAGTCATCGAGTCAGTTCTGACTCATAGTGACCCTGGATAGGGTTTCCAAGGAGCAGCTGGTGGGTTTGAACCACCGACCTTGTGATTAGCAGTCCACTGCTGATCCTGCAGTGCCATACCAGGGTGCTGCCCTAAAGGGTTGCTCTGAATCAGAATCTACTTGATGTCATTGGGTTTCCCAGCTTTTAGTCCTTAAGTGCTGTTTCACCAAGTGACCAGAAGGGGTCACTCGAAGACATGGCATGGTTCTCTTGGGAAAGTTTACTTTTTGAACCTCTTCTATACTCAGCCCAAGGGAAAGGGGGAAAAAACACGAATTATTTTGCTGGTGTGATGATAAGTCCTGGCAAGTCGGACTTGAGCTTGCATGTCAGTCAACTAGAAAATCTTTGGGCCTTCTTAGATGAGAGACATATTTTTCCGGACTTGCTTTCTTCAGAATGTGAAATTCATGAAGGCTAAATAAAATTAGATATGAACTGAAATTTTAAAAGGTTAAAATTAGGAAGCTGTGGTTATTTGGTAGGCAACGACTTTGTGCTTACCTACATTGTGATCTTGTGACAAGTCAAGAGTTTGGAGCTGAACTCTCTCGGTTGGCGTGTTTTGCCCTTAGATTGGCACTGTTGAAGAAGAGTGGAGAGGAAGACTGGAAAACCAGACTGAGCAAAAAGCAGGAGAGCCGGAAATCGTCCGCCTCAAGTACCCTGCAGATACACGACGCCGAGCTTAGGAGGAAGGTACTGCTTTCCATGGGAGAAAGGGCATTTGTACTCACCTCACGCTTGGATATGCATCAGACACACAAGCATGCACAGCTTACCTGATGATCCCCCTGGGAAGCATTCCCCTTGTCTTGCGTTAGAGAACACATTTAAAATCCTTCATATGAGCAGCTTTAAACTGATCAAAAGTAAAGTTTGGAGATTTTATGGAAGTGGTAACAATACTGCATTCATAAGCAAATTCCTAAATTTTCAAGTGTGTGTGTTTTTAACTTGCAGGTAACATTCTCTTAGTGAATGGCTTTAGGGTCATAAAAGCCTTCATCTTAAATATCTGCAGTTGACCACTAACTGGGTATAAATTGCAGATGAGATGTACACTTGAATTTTCTATGTATACACTTATAGAGCATAAGTCTTCATAATTGTGGCCAGCGAGTAATTAGTTCGTAATTCCAAGCATGTTTCACCATGGGTAGATAAATTTTCTGTTGATACTCTTTGAAAGACAGAAAATTGTGTCTCGAATTTAAATGGCATTAAGTAATACATTGTTGCCAATAATAGCACGCATTTCCATACACAAAAGCAGTGATGAGTTGTCCAGCTGCGAATACAATGATGAGCAGCTACTGACCATTTCTAAGCTGAACTGGGATTTCACTGCCCGTGGCCCTTCTATGGCAAATATATTTGCTGGCAGGAGACAAGATAGAGGATCTTGGTGGTGGCCAAGGCAAATTTCTAAGATTGAAATTCTTCAAATAGAGAAAAAGAAAAATGTACTTCCAACTAGATGATCCCCTAGATTCCTTCTCATTCTAAAAACTGTTAAACATCTATTGTTGTTGTTAAGTGCCGTCAAGTCAGTTCCGATCCATAAAGACCCTATATAGGGTTTCTGAGGAGCAGCTGGGAGATTGAACTGACGAGCTTGCAGCTCAAACCAACTTAACAGTGCAGTGCATTAACCCACAGTGCCACCAGGATTCCTGAGAATCTGTTATTGTTGTTGTTAGGTGCCGTTGAATTGGTTCCGACCCATAGCAACCCTGGTTAGGGTTTCCAGGGAGCAACTGGTGAGCTTGAACTGTCGACCTTGCAGTTCAAAGCAACTTTGCAGTCCAATGCATTACCCCACAGAGCCACACCAAGACTGAGTATGACTTTTATGTATTAAAAAACTTACATAAAATGAGGCTTGTGTATATAAGACTGAGTTAGAGACCTGACACTTTCATTGGGTTCTTCTGTGTCTTTGAAAGTTAAATTGAGTTCTCTTATTTGAAATCTCTGTGGTGGTAAAGATATAGCTAGGTGTTTAAAAAATTAAATTCAATTAAATATGGAACTTGGCTTTCAAGAACGGCTCCAAAAGCAAGAGAAAAGTGAGTCCCTCAAGTCATTTATCCCCACGGCCCACAAACTTTATTTAAAAGATCTTTAACTCGATGATTCAAAAACACCTTCAACACATTTCATATACCACCAATAACAAGCCTGTCAACCAACATATCATGTCTCAAACTCTTGCAAGTGTCAGGAATCTTGTTAGAAAATTTGAAAGATGAAGAGAAGTCCCGTCCTGGCAGTATAGCCAGGCAAAAATTAAAATTAAGCTGAAAAACACACAGAAAATAGATTTTCCTATGACTGGGGACGTGAAGTAAGTGCAGTACGCGCTCAGAAGGGTCAGGGATCATTTTAGTCTGAAAATCAGAAAACTATGAGGAGAGCTGGTGAGCTAGGAACGCAGTAGCAACACGGGTTCTGGATGGTGCCCAAGGTCACACCCACCCCGAGGCACTTCCAAAGCAAGGTCTGGCAATCTACTTCCGAAAGGTCCCAGCCTCGAAAACCATACGGAGCAGTTGTACTGTGCACACACGGGGTGGTCTTGAGTCAGGAGAGACAATCGGCAACGAGCAGCCACACATGAGTAAGATTTTTAAAAGCCATGAGATTCTCTAGATAAGGTCACTGACGTATTGAAACATTTCAAGTGCCGCCCCTGAGTGAAAATTTAGTGTCCACACACAGCGGGGAGCTAAGTGAGAACAGAGTTGCTCAACCTGTACCCAGTGCCAAATGTCAGCCGATTCGGTGGCAAGCCCCCCTCCTCCTCGGTAACCTAGATCACTTTGGCCTGAGACAGTAAGCGCTCTGAAGTTAAAATAAGCCCCATCTATTTTCAGCCTTTTTAGCAGACGTTGGGAAATCTCGAGTTCTGTTAAGGTCAAGCGATTTTCAGATGGCCTCTGATAATCCCTGGGCTACAGTCCTTCCTAAGGAGCTCTGGTAGCGTAGTGGTTACGAATCGGGCTGTGAACCTTAAGGCCAGCAGTTCGAAACTACCAGCTGCTCCGCGGGAGAAAGATGAGGCGTTCTGCTCCCGTAAAGATTTACAGCCTCGGAAACCCTGTACAGGGTCGCTATGGGTCGGAACCGACTCGATGGCACATAACAACAACAGTCCTTCCTAAGGGCTGGCAGTAGATTCAGTCTCATTGTAGATATTCCACGTTGGGGGCTGAGGTGTCTTGAACCTAGCCTGTGTGAAGACAGTCCCCAAACAGCTGAGGAGTACTTGAGTCATCATCATACTTGCTGGCGTGTCTGAATGCTTCCAAGACCTCCCAGAAGGATGCACACATATGGCATTGGTGCAGACAGGAGGTCTTCCTGTATGCAGTGGGTCTGGACTTGCTTAGAGAAGCCTTCTCAACACAGCAAGCTCTTGGAGCTTCTATCTTTACCACAGAGGGTTGAAAAGAGATGGTTTCCAAGTCAGGTCATCTCCGGACTTCAGAATTCCAGAATTCACCAGAAGGTGCACATTACTGGTTAACGAATATTTAATAGTTTGCGATCCTCCAAGTTTTCCTGTACAGTAAGTGTAACCCCATGAGTTTAGCCCACAGAGATATCTGTTGTTCTTAGAGACAGGCTCATACAATCACTTCTTCCCCTAAGTCAGCATCGATCATAGAAAGAGCATGGGTACCACACAGATGACTTTTCCACTAGTCACATTTTAAAACCTAAAAAGAAACTGGTGGAGTGAATTTTCATAATAATTTAATCCAAGATATTCAAGATAATGTCTTTCCAACATACAGTGAAACCTGGAATGAGAGTCGTCATTTGAAAGACCACCTTGTTTTTCTTGGTCTCACACTTTGTCTTCACTTTTCTATTGCTCTCTACTAGTAGAAAATATCTGAGTGTTCTTTCTCTGATAGGCCACTGCCATACACAGGTTCCAGCTTTCACAGGTCTTGCTGTATGTAAGCATATCAATCTGAAATGGTTAATGTTTGGGAATCCTGCTGTGCCTTAATGCGCTGGACTGCAAAGTTGCTTTAAACCATAAGGTTGGTGGTTCAAGCTCACCAGTCTTTCCTAGGAAACCCTATACAGTGTCACTATGGGTCAGAATTGACTTGAGGACACTTTGCAACAACAACTATCTGAGTCCTGGTGTGGCGCTGTGGGTTAATGTGCCAGACTGTAAAGTTGCTTGAATTGCAAGGTCAGTGGTTCAAGCTCACCAGCTGCTTGATGGAAACAATATACAGGGTCGCTATAGGTCAGAGCCGTGACTCAACAACACTTAACAACAACCAACCACTGTTTATTTCATACAAACTTTTTTAAAACCCTGCATGCATTTTACACTTAGATTATGTCTCGATACTGTGTTGGACAGTACAAATAAAAACGCATCTGGAACATTCTGTTTTGAAACCATAGATCTATGTGACCACCAGCTCACTCAGATGGTCACTTCATAAATATTTTTCCAGTGAAAATATTACCCAGGAAGTATAGTTCTAGCAGTGGATGTAAGAAACTTATCAAATCAAGCAACATCCCTAATGTTGAAATTACTGGGAGAATCACTTGATACCTTTAAATGTGGCTTCGGACATGTGAGACCTGCAAGAAAGGTGTCCCATGCGGACGTCTACTGCACCCATCCCAGTGTAATATACGGAGGCTGTGAAGGATCTGGTAGATCCCACCACACTGTAAGCCAGACTCTTCAAAAGGGCTCATTCAGTCACGTCAGTAAGAGACCCACTGAATGGTCTTCATGACTATATTATAGGAGACAATCAGCAGTCCATTCATTATAGAGCATAATGCGTCTTCCTATGTAGACTCGTGAAACAGTTTAGAAAGTATCACGGTTACGATTTTGTTCTACTCATCTCTTAAAGACGGCCTGCCGCGTGTATGCTTTCTTCATACTAGGAGTTCCTTTGAAAAGGGACACTTTTCAAAAAGAAATACCATCTTGTTTCTGTCAAAGAGTCTGTCCCCAAACAAAACAAAACAAATGGATTGGTGCCCTGTTCAACATCTCATTGTGGATTCTTTATAGTTAGAACCTGGAGTCTTGGTGTGGCGTTGTAGGATAAACACTGGACCAAACGGTCAATTTGAACTGCAAGGTGGCAGTTCAAACCCACCAATTGCTCCTTGTAAGCCCTATACAGAGTCGCTATGAGTCGGGACTGATTCAATGGTACTTAACAACATAAGAACCTATTCTTCTGCCCCTATAATAGATTTCTAGGAGGCAAGTTAGAGTTTTCCTTTTTGTACTGCAAGACCAGTCATGTCTTAGAGAATATATAATTTAACAGCAGTTATTTACATTCCAATTTTACCCTCACTCCTCCCCCCATCAAAAATAAGTAACTAAAGAAAAGACCAAAAAGCCAAAATCGCAGGGTTGATGATTTGGAACTTCAAGCCCTTAGTACTCTGTCATTTCCTGTGAGGGATGGTTCAGGTTTTTTCTCTCTCCTCGCTGTCTCTCGTCTGCCCTGACTTTTCTTTCTTCTTTCTCCTGTTCTTGGTTTAGTCTAAGCCAGTGCTAATCTGATTTAGGCATTTTTGCTTCTTGCTGCATATGTAATTGAGCTGTAAGATGGTAAAGTCCCTCGCTGTGCAGATTTGGTCTGGTCCACACTGCGTGGAATGTGTGTATCTGAGCGTGAGTGCAT